TCCAGTTGAAGTAGCTGGGTCCCTTGGAAATGATTTAAATTCTTTAAAATATTGAGGCTGCAATGTTAATAACTTGAGAAACTTTATTCAGAGCTAGACTGGATGTCCTTAGATTACAAAAGGAAAAAACACAAAATGATCTTAATGTACAAAATCTTAAACAAAGAAACACCTGAATACTTATTTGATATTATCCAACCATTTTTTAACAATTTTGAAGAGTCAAGGTATCAACTTCGAAATAACAGAATCTATAGTTAACCTGTTTGTCGCACTGTAAGGTTTATGGATATTTTTTTCCAAACATGATATCTGAATTTAATAAAATTAGTAATCTCATAACTAATATTCACTCTGTAAGGCACTCTGTTGAGAACAAATTCTCCAGTTTATAAGAATAACATCAATTTTAGAGAAGGAGGACCAAGAAAATTAAATTTCATTCTCTGTCAGCCCAGGAATTTAGCCAGCTCTCTAAATCATGATCAACATAAAGACCATCCCTATGATGACATGTCCTGTGCATCTGGTATCCTAACTGAAAAATCTCAACATTTCTTTTTTGACTGCCCTAGATATATTAACCCTAGACAAAGTTGATTACAAACACTGAACAACCATAATCATAACCACTATGAACTAAACTATGTTTTGCATGGCTGCCCAGTCTGTACCACCCACATCAATAAATCATTGTTTGATGCTGTAATTAAGTATATTGATGATACAGAAATGCTTTAATGTCTAATATTTAATATCTACTAACATAAATTGAAATTATAGAACAAATCTAAAACTAAGACAAAATATAATTGGAAAAAAAATTGATAACATTCCATAGTTATAGTTAAATCAACTTTTATCAATGACGAGGTGAATGCTGGTTAATAGTTATTTACTTTTCCCCATTTTCCCCCATTATTATTTGTTTTTTCTGATTTATTTCCAATATTGTAGTTAACATCTTATAATAAGGCAACAAATCCGATCAGTTCTTTATCTTGGTCTGATTATCCTTTTTATTTAGAATGATAATCCTTTGATATAAGAAAAATGTGCTTTATGTGTACTTGCTCCCTCACTGAAGTGGGAAACGGCTATCTTTTATTTCATGGACATTCTGGCCCAAATCCCTATTATATGGGAGAGAAAGTATATGTAATGCGCATTTAATATCATAAGACATAGTAGACTGAAAAGCTGGTGGATTGTTAATTTTCTTCTTATAATCATAAAATTAAAGTATAAAAAATAACAGAGTTGTCTCCCATAATTTAAAATGAATTAGTCTGTCAGCCCTAAATTTATGATTGTATGTATGTAATGTAAGGTTTGTATGTGTGTAATGTATGTATGCATGTATGTTTGTATGTATGTATGTATGGATGGATGGATGGATGGATGTATGTTTATGGTGTATGGTGTATTATGTTTATGTCTGACCACCATGTTGTTTTTGGAGAAGACTTATATAGGTTCTAGCCTACTGCCTAATCCTTTTGATTGTTTATATCAACAAAATATTCTGAAATAAAAAAATGACAACAGCCGAAGTAGAAACATCACAAAATATCTTATTCCAACACGACCTTCAGTAAATCAACTGAAAATCAAAAGATTTGTCGTTTTTATATCGACAATTCTAATACTAGAAATGATATGATACAATGCATTTCAGTGGGTAAGTCAAAGTAAATATGAAAAGTAACAACAAAGAATTTTGACTGTTTTTTTCTAATCTTATCACAGTAAATCCTTTTAAGTAGTACTTGTAATGGTTTCGATTTTTTTATTATTATTTCTTAAACAAATCGGCAGTACGTCTAGTCATTATCAATTAACTGAAACTGTAAAAGATTTATTGTAATATGATATGTATGAGACGTTTCTGTCCTGCTAATATGTTCTCTCCTGTTACTACATAAAATAAATATCTATGGTTTTTTTAACCTATAAAATGAATTAAATGATAAGATATCAAGATTATATTCTTAAAAACGAGTTTTCTAGAAAATAATTAAAATTTTTTTTTTTCAATTTGACCCCTTTTTAGTTCGGATAACAAATACTTTTAAAATGATAGCTGGATGAAACATTTCTTAATATTTGAGCAATTTTTTGTCATAACTGCGACATAACGACTGTATATAAACATTTCACATTACTGGTATATGTTTGATATACAAACATTTGATATGTGAATAACGTATTTGTTATTGTATTTTTCCCTTTATTTCGTTTTTGCTAAAACACAAGAAAACGTGAAAATGTATATATTTAAGGATTAAATCTTGCTTATGTCGATTTCATGGGATGATGAATTGAGCTGGTCTTCAGACAAATTTAATGAACTGCGAAGCATAAGCAAGATTCAATCCTTATATTTCAATTCACGCTTCTTTTTTCTATAGCATGGGAAATGACGCAATTTATCTTCTACTTTCATTTTCGTTTCTTGTCATCATATCGTTTCAAGACAGATTATTGTGACAGGTTGAAATATATTTCAGCGTGGAAACTTACATAAGAACAAATTTAATATATTTTTCGACAACTTTAATGAAATTTAAATAAAACTGTGCGACAAAGACAGTATGCATTTTTCCCCGCGGAGGAATAACGTCTAGACGTGGTGCGCCGGTTCGCAAACGAAGCGGTGTCGGCCATTTCTTTACAGGCACCGAAGCGGAGAACAAGAAATATCAGGCTTCAGTCGCTTCACATCTTTTGAAACGTAAAGTTACAGTTATTAAATGTTGAATACACAATTCTTTTAATTCTTTAATTTAAGTAATAGTTTCAATAGTTTTTTAGCCTACACGTACTCAGTACGCATAGCCTATTGCGACGGCCTTTCAGACAAAATTTACCGATCCTGGCCTTCTCATTGGCTGAAATATCGAAAAGAGTTAGAGCCATCTAGCGGCAATTTTCTGCTTAAATAATGCCGCGATTTTTCAAATCGCTATTTTAAAAGCATCCAAAAATAGTTTTTTTTAAATAACAATACGATTACTATATACATGTATTTCAAAAAAAGAAGCACAGTGTGGTTGAACTATTGATAAATTTTGAACAATATATTTTACGAAATTCTCGACATGACGTAAGCGCACAGAACACTGTACGTGCGAGTTGGCGCCATGATAAGAAGCTAGTCTGGGGCATGGTTTGAATTATAAATTTACAGCACTTATAAACAAACAAACTTACAAACAGAATATCAATTTTGCTTTAATCCTTGTCATTGTGGCAAGATCGTCTTAATATATAACATCACTTTACCTCATTAGACGTCACAAAATTGGACTGTTCATCCTACGCGCACACCCACCGCCATGACACTTTTTCAAGTTTTTGAAGATAAAAAGTTTGTGCTTCTTAGGCAAGGTTCATTTGGTGCTCATGATTTATGAATGATATATTTTTAATACTGTACTGATCATGATGTTGACTTTGTTATAACTAATATTTTTTGTCTTTTAGTTTTATTTGATGAAGGTTGACTGTGCTGATTTCTCTAGGTTTGTTAATGTGTATCAAAGTTCCTTGAAATGAAAATATTCCTTCAAACAAAGCGCGTATAAAAAAAAATCCAAAATATTCATGTTTATAATTATCAATTAACTAAACCGAAATATTTCCATAACATATTTATTCATTTAGCGTGTCGTGGTGACATTATCTAATGCATTAGCTATATTGAAAATATTGTAAATTTTGTATATATATGGAAGTCTGGTTTAATCTCATAAAACTATGCCTTTATAGACATAATTACTGGAAGAAAAGTCTTACCATGATACTTCAAGGCATGTAAATACATTTAATGTAATTACTTACACTTTTATCTATCTGAAATGCTGTGTATACCTTATTTACTTTCCTCAACTACAAATATAATTATAATAAGTAAGGACTATTACTTTGCAATACATTCAAAATAAAGAAGTAGGTATAAAGTCCTTTCGATTTGTTTAAATCCTCATATTGATAGGATAGTAATTGCAACATCTTGGGGATTTCAAAGGTTTTATTTAGTCAACTTCATCATAGAGTTATTTATCATTTGGCTTGTTGGCGATAAATATATGATTGTGTGTATTTTGTTATTATTATTTTTTTTTTTTTTTACCTATTTTGATGTATTTATTGTCGTCAAATCTGAAAGAAGAATTAAAGAAGTTATAAAATCGCTTAAAATTAAGAAACATAGTCTCTGGTTCTCTTATTTTAGTAATTTTTGCATTCCAAAGTGTAGGAGTATGGTGAAAGTAATATAGCTTAGCGGTTATTTGTGAACATTTTTCAATACGTTTAGCCTCTCAGTACTTTCAGTACTTTGATTAATTTTTATTTTGATGTTTTTAGATATCATGCTTGTGGTATATTGCCAGTCTAGTAGATGTTGGGGAGTTTTCTCCCCTTACCTTATTTTTTTGTTTAGTTTATAGTCTGTTTCATATAAGTGCTTGTATCAAACAGGATAACACTACAGAATCGAGATGCAGAGAAGAAAATATGCCTGTTACAGTCACGTGTGATGTGGAATTTGATGAGACAGTTAAAAACGTAATAAAATTAAGTCCAACATTTTGGAGTGCTAAATCCAAACCATACAGGGCAAAAAGGCTTTTAAAACTTCCTAACAATCAACAAGAAGTCAGTCTATCATTTGATAAGTCTAGAACATCAGCAGGGGATAGACTTTTGCTTCGTGATTTATATTGCAAATGGCAAAAAGATCCTTATATTTGCAACTGATTAAAAAATCTCAAAAACCTGCGTGAAAGCAAAAAGGACAAAAACCATTACAGTGAGCATCCGTATTGTTAAATACTTAACATGCTCCATAAATACCAACGTTGTACAGTTTGAAGAACATTACGTAACGTGTTTTACGACTTTGAAGTCATCGATATTGGTCTATATTATATATAGAATCAGTCTACAAATAAAAATCAAGTTTAAAAGATGAATCAACAAATAAAAAAACTTACGTTTTACTCGTCTTCTGTGCTCCTCAAAGTGTTATAATGTAACACTTACTTCATAGGCATTAACACATGACATGGGTTTATCTTGCAAAAGCATACAAGTGACCTTAATTATCTCAAGTATCGTAACTAGAAAAATGTCCCGTACATGAAGTACGCACTTGAGAAAGATTCGCTTTCAACATCCGTGTTCGACTCTCGGAATAGATGTGAACAAATATATAGTCACCTGCTGGACAACGTGACTCAGTTCTCCCGTGTACCCAGGTTTCCTCCCACACCATGAACCTGGAATATCTTGCTCGCAAAGGTTGTAAGATAAAGTTTAATTTACCGTGCTATTTTCTATGTTAGCAAATAGTATATGACAAATCTACTTTATTATGCATTTCTCAAACTCTATGTTTTGTTGTTGGCAATATAAATGATACAACATGAGACTACCGTTACATCACTGAATCTTTCTTGAGACTAATTTGTCAAAAACTTTTTCTTGTATGCGATGTGTTGATAATGTAGTACAAGAAAAAAATACCACGGCTCGCTTCCAAGTATAGGTTTTAATAAGTGAGAATCACGCACTTGTCACAGTGCTGGAAGTGACTACATCAACAATGGGAAAACCAACTCTATTTATCTGCTTACTTCTGTATACTTTCTAGAATATATTTACGCAAGTGGCTTTATAAGAAAATGTACCTTTCCGTTCAAAGTTTGGTGATAACTTCATCTTAGATTATTTCATTTTGGTGGGAAGGATAATTTTTTATTGTTTTCTCGATATGGATCAAATTGCCGGTTAAACATGTATGCACGCAGTATTAGAGGTAAACATCACATAATCAAAACAAGTAATATTGGGGTCATTATCAGTTTTCTTCAAACCTCACTTTCAACATATAAATTCTAATTTTATCCCTCGCTCGTCGTCCCTAATGACCTCTAATATGTTGGTGGTTGGTTGGTTAGTTGGTTGACTCCTCCCATGGCCGGAATCGTGGAATCGTCTGGTGCCATGTGTGATTGCTTATACTAGTTTTAAAGGACGGCTCCGTGACCTGATAATGCCTTATCCTAACTCTAGCAGTCTGAAACATGTCCAGAAGTTGAAAGAAGCGATTAGGTGGCGACATAGATTTGGTTTAGGTTAGGGTAATTTTGAAGTTCGTCAAATGCCTTAAAACATTTAACGGTCTAGCACTCTCCCTAAACTCCTAGACCGGCATCATCACGCCAGCTTTTTTTTCGAAAATCCACAGACGGGACGCGTTGATGGGAATCTACCGATATCGTGTCGTGTCCCAGAAGTGGAGCAGTGCAAACATATTATCTATACCAAAGAAATGTACAGTGGAGGTCAACATGCATGGCACATTTCAGTATTGCCATAACTTGGATTCTTTAACCGATTTAAAAGCATTCATTCAAAGATGTTATAGAATACAAGAAAAATTAATGGAGGCGTGTAGGGTGCACTGGAAAAAGTGTGCCAAAAGCCAAATAAACGTTCTACTAGATATTGTATCCTATTTTGTGTCGATCGTAGTTATGGCTGGTGGTTATATGACACTTACATAAACCATAAACACATAACACAACACTTCGTGGCAAAGTATAGGTGTAGACAACAAAATGTGTTTAACGTGATCCTATTTTACATGTAGCTCAAAATTCTCAGCGCGAGAATCGCAAAAATAGAAATACGCCGAAATATTAAAACATACTGCATAAGTACTTTATTTGTCGTATATTAAAACCACATCCTGTTTTGTTCCTTTAAACCTCGTTGTTATTTCAACGCTACGATTATAGTTAAGTGCACAAAAAGGTGAGATTTAAAGAAAAACAACAGGATGTGGTGTTGATATATGACAAGTAAAGTACTTGTGCAATATTTTTTAATTCATTTACTTGAAATTCAGGGAGTTCCTTACTATTTTAGTCTCTTAGCCGGAAATTTGTCGCCGACCAGATAACACTGATCGTGGATTACATAATTAACGTGTTTCCTAATGTAAGCAGTGCATACTTTTTAGATTTTTTACTTTGTTGATCCAGATTCACAGACTGAACGGTAGAAATCTTCTTTCTAACAACAATGGTGTAAAAAAAAAAGTAAATACCAAGCCTAACAGTACATTTTAGCGAACTTTTGGACTTTTAGATTCAGACGGGGGATAAACATACTACAATACTGCTAATATCTTTAGCCTCTTCTTATCTTATAATTTATTGATGTAGCTTACATATATGCATTGAAATGGACTATTTAACGTCCGATATAAGTTTACCATCTTTTGTCTTGTTGTTGGAATCAAATGCTAAATTGAATGATTGATATAATCTATCTACATTGTACATAGTTGATATATATATCAGATACTTATATTTTAATATAAGCCGTATATTTTAAGTGTAGATAATTGTATACAATATTTAATGGCGGCATCAGCTCTCTCACACAGCTAATATTCAGGATGACTTGTTTCAAATCCTACTATATAAGTTTTTGTTTTGGTAAGATTTTCAGTCAGAGTTTTTATATGAATGAGCTGAAAGTGGAATTAATGAAGAGCACAATTATTCCCTATCATCAGTCAATTTTATAAAGAAAAAACATTATGTAAAATTAATGTCCTTATTATGATAAATTGATTATAAACAATCTACGGGCTTTATAGAACAGCTAGATTCGTGGGATTCAGAAAAAAATGTTCATTGGACGGGCCACATGTCTAATGATAAGGATCAGTTAACAGATATAACAATGTATAACGGACCCGGTCAAGTTGACATAAAATTGATCCCTTCCATTTTCAAGTGAATGACATAATTTTGTTATCTTTATATCGATTCATCTTTTTTACCAAATGTTTTCACCCGAACGTCTTTTTTCACATCCCACTTATTTCAGGAGGGTCACCAAATGATCTTTCCTGTAGCGTGCTGCGCATGCGCCAGACTGAGTCGATTTTTCACCTGTACTGTTACTATAGATTATAAAGAGAGAAAATCTTTAAACTTGAATAAAGCATTTTTTCGTTCAAATGACAGTATTTTTCCCGTATACATTTGAATGATAATTTTATAAGCTTTTAATATGGTATTTGAAAATTAAAAATAAGTTTTGAGGAGTCGGTGCCTTTTTTTAGTTAAAGTTCAGAAATTTATTTACTATGAATAAAGAAGTATTTCCACTAGAAATTCGCCTTATCACCGAATTCAAAATTAGATAAAAAATGTTTTCCAAAATTTGTGAATATTTTTCCCGTATAGGTTAGTTTCTAAATTTATCCAGGATTCCGACACTCTAATTTTTTTAATAAGTGTTTTGGAATCGGTGCCTTTTTTAAGATATAGGTACATACATAGGTGTAGATTCAGCAGCCTCATGTTACGCTGGTGTGACGTCATGGGACCAGTGTTATAGGGTCTCTGTACACTGTGATGACTTACCTATCTGTAAATACAATGTTTTATATTTGAAAATTAGAATTTTTTATACTAGTTAATTTGTTTATTTTTTTAGTCCAGAACTTTGACAGTGTACCTCTATTACTATAAACACCGTCTTAAAAACACACATTAAAATAAATATGTACGCGGAACAGGTGCTAGTTAAAACTAAGATATTGATAACAGTTTACGATAATCAATTAATATAATGTGTACATGAAATTTATAAATATTATTGTATCACTGTAAATGTAATATCAATCAATATGTACTGGACAAGGAGAAGATTTATATTGACATGGCCTGTTATGAGTCTGCGTGGGTCACTACCAATGTGGATCAATCTGAACATATGCAATTGTAATTCCTGGCAGAGTGTGAAAATAATAATACATATACATGTATATTGTATACTGATGTTTCGCTTGTTAATTGCGCTGTCTGTCAATGTAATTAACATCCGGTGTCAGTGACTAGTATGTGTATGCCACGTGGGATAAGAGACCCCTATCGATTCGCACGCTTCACCTCTAAGTCATTTGCAGTGTGAAATTAATATTGTCTGTATTCTTTTCTGTTTAAAAAAATACTGAAAAATAGAACTTGGAGGGTAAAATTGTCGTTCATGCAGAATCACGTGCATACATATTTCGACTCTCCTATAGTATTTTTTTCTTGAAGTTCCATCTGCTTGTTCGATTTCCCTAACGAAGGAGATAAATTGAAAATGCCATTATCATATCGCTGTCATAATATCACCATTAAAATAGTGGTTATTTTCCGACAAATATTGTACTTGATTATATGTGGAAGAAATCTTAGACAAATGAACATTTTATCAGAGACGTAAATAACACATGTGTAATATATACGTCTCTGATTTTATGTAGACGATCTATCTATATAAATACATGAAGGAATGTATTTAATATACATATTATATATACGGATCGATATAGGAAATTTATTTAATGAATATTCCTTGTATATGCCCCGATATACTTAACGTTTTAATATCTTACACATATGTTTAGATCTTTTAAGTAAATGTATTTAATATGTCCCGATATACTTTTTTACGCGTTTAATATTCCTGTTGGGCCTATATCTTGATATATATCTCATACTTACGTATATACTGTTATACATGTACAGTTCTATAGAAGTCCCGATATACTTGTAAACTTGTTTTACATAAACCTATAATCTACGTTTTCTCTGTCCTATTAGTCCTGCTGTTCCTTGAATCTACGTTTTCTCTGTCCTATTAGTCCTGCTGTTCCTTGAATCTACGTTTTCTCTGTCCTATTAGTCCTGCTGTTCCTAAGATCTACGTTTTCTCTGTCCTATTAGTCCTGCTGTTCCTAAAATCTACGTTTTCTCTGTCCTATTAGTCCTGCTGTTCCTATAATCTACGTTTTCTCTGTCCTATTAGTCCTGCTGTTCCTTGAATCTACGTTTTCTCTGTCCTATTAATCCTGCTGTTCCTAAAATCTACGTCTTTTTCTGTCCTATTAGTCCTGTTGTTCCTAAGATCTACGTTTTCTCTGTCCTATTAGTCCTGCTGTTCCTAAGATCTACGTTTTCTCTGTCCTATT